TCAGGAGATAGCTGTAAATGATGCCTGATTGTGCGCACAGAGATGTAGCCAATAATAATGGCCAAATAACTACAGCATTTTTCTAAATTAGGAAGGAATAATGGTTTCAGTCATCACTATAGCTGTGGGATCATTTAATGAGTTCTGTTCTACTCTACAGTAGTGATATTGGCTACCTTGTAAATCAGATTGTAGGCGTATAGCAGATGGTGGCGCAGGGAAGGGGAATAGTAAGATCATAAGATATAGGAGCAGAAATAGGCCATTCAGCCCATCTAGTTTACTCCGCCATTCAATAAGATTATGGCTGATCTGATAATCCTCAACTCCACTTTCCTGCCTTTTCCCATGACTCTTGGTTCCCATCCTGATTTAAAACCTGTTTTCTCAGCATTGAATATCCTTAACGACATAGCCTCTACAGCTCTCTGTGGCAGAGAATTCCACAAATTCACTAACTTCAGAAGAATTTGTCCTCATGTCTGTCTTAAATGGGCACGCTGAGATAATGCTCTATGTTCCTAGACCCTCCCACAAAGGGGAAACAACCTTTCCACATCAACCCTGTCAATTCGCTTCAAATTCTTGTATGTTTCAATAAGGCCACCTGTCATTCTTCTAAACTGTAATGAGGCCAAACCTACCCAACTTCATCTCATAAGAAAACCCCTCTATGCCAGGGATCAGCCAAGCAAAACTTTTCCCACTGAAACTGTTTTTGGTGCCGGCTAACCAGTGCCTCATACAGTTTTCCATAGGAATTAGGAGCTCGAGTAGGCAATTCAGTCCTTTGAGCCACTACAGCAGGTTATAGTCCAACAGGTTTATTTGAAATCACAAGCTTTTGGAGAGCTGCTCCTTCGTCAGGTGAAGGTCATGTTTCTTTTCTTGAATCTATTGATTGATTCTGGCTCCACCACACTCTGGGGCAGTGAGTTCTACAGATTCACAACTCTCTGACAGAAGTAGTTTCTCCTCATCTCAGTTTTGAACCTACCTCCTCTCACTCTATATCTATGCCCTCTTATTCGAGACTGTCCCACAAGGGAGAATAATATCTGTTCGGTGTCCACCTTACCAATCCCCTTTAGCATTGTATATACTTCAATCAGACTCTTCCCTCCGCAACCCCCCCCCAATTCCTTTAAACTCCAGAGAGTACAAGCCCAAGCTATTCAATCGTTCTTCATACAACAACTCTTTATTGCTGGAATCAATCTGGTAAACCTCCTCTGAACTGCCTTCAGTACCACCACATCCTCCTTCAGGCAAGGAGACCAAAACTGGTCACAGTATTCCAGGTGTGGTCCCACCAATGCCTTATATAATTGTAACAACATTTCTTTACTTTTATAATCGAGTCCTTTTGCGATAAATGCCAAGACTCAATTTGCCTTTATTATATGCTGCACCTACATACCCACTTTCTGCGATTCATGCACGAGGACACCCAGATCCCTCTGCCCTGACACATTTCAAATCTGCTTCCCCATTTAAATAATAATTTGCTCTTTTATTTTTCCAGCCGAAATGGACAACCTCACACTTATCCACATTAAACTCCACCCTGAAATACTGGCCCATTCTCTGATTCTATCAATGTCTATCTATAACCTCTTTATCTCCTCATTCCTGTTAAACTAAACCATAAGGATTATAAGAACTAGGAACAGGAGTAGGCCTCAAGTCTGCTGCGCCATTTGATAGGATCATGGCTGATCTGCAATTCCTCACATCCACTTTCCTGCCCTTTTCATATAACTCGATTTCCCTACCGAACAAGAATCTATCTTAGCCTTAAATATACACAAGGATTCCACTCCCACACCTCTCTGTGACAAAACAGTTCTGAAAATACTCAACCCTCTTACAGAAGAAATTCCTCCTCATCTCATTCTTAAATTGTGGTCTTTTTATTCTGAGAGTATGCCCTCTGGTCCTAGACTCTCCCAGGAGGGAAAACATCCTCTTAGCATTTACTCTCAAGAATCCTATCTGTTTCAATATGATCACCTCTCACTCTTCTAAACTCGCGTTTAGCCTTTGCTCATAAGACAATCCCTTTATCTGAGGAATACCCAATTTCTTTATTGTCTGCTGAACTTGGATGCGATTTTTTTGGGATTTATGCACAAGGACCCCACAACCCCTTTGAGCTGCAGCTTTTTGCAGTCATTCTCCCATTAAATAAAATTCAGCTCCTCTATTCATTCTACCTAAGTGTAAGACCTCACATTTTCCCACATTACACCCTATTTGCCAAGCTTTTGCCAACTCACAACTTTTCTGTACCTCTCTGCAGATTTTTCGAGTCATTCTCAACCTATTTTTGTGCCAACTGCAAACATGGCAATAGTACGTTCACTTCACTCATCCAAGTCATGAATATATATGACAGTGGACTCATCACTGATCCCTGTGGCACTTCACCACTCACATGTTGCCAGCCTGAAAATGTCTCTTTACGCTGTGTTGTAATTTGAATGACCATCTACAGGTTGCCTTTTATCTTTTCTGCTTGTCTAACCAAACAGGCAAACCTGTCACCGCACAAAGAGCACAACAACAAACCTTTGTGGGTCACTCATAGTCTCTGTGCTGGAGGGGTGTGCCGCGCTTGTTCAAAAACACTGATTATGGGATCCAGTTTCAGGAAGGTTGAGGGTCTGCCCAGAGTCACCCCTCCCCGGCCCTTTGTTGTCAAAACCCCTAACACACACCCAGTGAGGCCCTCCTCCCTTGTCTGATCCTGGCCTGGGATCCATCACAATCCCTGACCTCGGATTGGTGCATTACCAGCAGCGGTCACCAGCTCTCAGGTGGCGCTGCTGAGCAAAAGAGTTGCTGGTTTCTGACTGGACAGAGGGTGGGATTACCTGGCCCAGGATCCTCATCCAGTAGAAGGTCCACTGACGGCCTATTCTTTGATTATTTGTCTCATAACTCAGCAGGCCTTCCCTAAAGGAGGCAATGCAAACCTCTCTCTGGCTCTCTTGCCAGTGACTGAGACCTCTGTCACCTCCTTTAACCAAGGTAGGCAAATAGGAGGCTGGAAGAACACAGCAAGCCAGGCAGCATCTGGATGAAAGGAGCAGTCAATGTTTCGGGTATTGCCCTTCTTCAGGACTGGATGTGCGAGTAGAGTAAGTTGCAGATAAAGAGACAGAGGGAGGGGTGTAGCGGAATGGTGGTGATAGGTGGACACTGGTAGTGGGTACGACCTGGTTGGTCGATGGGAGGGATGAATCCAATTGGTAGGTGGAAGGAAGTGTTACAAAGTGGAATGGAAGGGAGGAGGTGGGGCTGGAAGGGGAGCTGGGGGATGGGTGGGAAGTTTATTTGAAATTGGAGAACTCAATGTTGAGTCCTCCGGACTGTAGGGTGCCCAGGCTGAAGATAAGGTGTTGTCCTTCAAATTTATGACGTGAGTTACTGTGACACTGGAGGAGGCCGAGGACAGACATGTTGGAGGGGGAGTGGGGCGGGGAGTTGAAATGGGTGGTGACTGGGAGGTTAAGTTGGCCGTTACGGGCCAGGCGAAGATTCTTGGCAAAATGGTCACCTAGTCTACGTTTGGTCTCACTGACGTAGAGAAGACCACATCGGGAGCACTGGATGCAATAGACTAGGTCGAAGGAGATGCAGGTGAAGCTCTGTCTCACTTGGAAGGGCTGTTTAGGGCCCTGAATGGAGGTGAGGGACGTGGTGTGTGGGTAGGGGAACCCCGTTCCCCACCCTCCACAAAAATATTGATCTTATCCTCTTCCTACACTGTAAATATTGGCACAAATTATTTTTTTCACGACTCCCCTATATTCTATTACAGTATCAATGTTATCAGTTTGGAAAGACACACTGTTCCTAACCAAGCTCTTTCTCTTTATGTAATCATCAAAATTGTGATGAATTTGGTACTCCTTGAAAATTTCTTTTCTTTGTGGTTGTAAAAGAGCAACTTGAATCAATATTGCACATCTATGTTGCAAAATGTCCCAAGAGAAATGTAGTCAAAGAGCACCAGACCGAAGAAAAGGTTTATTCAGAGGAGGTGAGCAATACATCAGTGGAATATGTTGAAAGGAGTAGAAGGTGGGGTGAGAAGGCAGGAATTCTTAGGAAGGGTTTTTCAGACTGTGGAGTCTTGTAAAAATCACCGTAGGGCTGCTCTTTGCTGCTCAATGGTCTCAATGTCCCAGGTGGGGAAAATGGGTGTAATAAAGAACAGATATCTGTCAGCACATGGTCCTGAAAGGAGGTAATGAGGACAGAATTTGTCCATTTCATTCTCTCTGCAGGGTTGGGAGTTGCTGGTTGGTAGATATGCCATATTCCAGCACTTTAAAATTTCTCTCATATTCTTGCCAGTTTCCATTTGGGAACTTTTTTGCACCCTCCAATGATTTAGTCTATGTCAAATGTAATTATTCAATTCCTTGTTTTACTGCATTTTATCACCTCACTGACAAGTTTCTTCTTTACTATCTTTACCACACACTCTCTCACACACACACACTCACACACACATGCACAGACACACTCTCTCTCTTCCCACTTCTCCCCTCCCCACCCACCTTTATTTTGACTTATCTTATAGTTTCCTGTTCTGAGATGCAATTACACCAAAAATACAAATCTTTGTTTTCACCTCAGGTAATGCTTGAAACTGCTTTGAATCATTGTATATGATGAGCTGAAGGGCTAAACTTGTTGATGATATTCGACAGCTGCATGACCTTGAATGAGTCCTGTGAACATTCCTGTTCATGCCAAAGTCGGCACAATCAATGTGTTTTCCTGTAGTTGTTTTTCTGTGCTTGGCTGTTTGTTACACTGTATAAGAGAGAGAGTTTTGTTCCAAGTCACTGGACTTCACCTCGAACTAGGATCACAAACGGTGCCAGGAACAACCTCAGCCTCCAGACCAGCCGTCAATCGAGGGGTCCCCGATGGGCAGAAGGGTGTGAGGCTCATTGTCTTTTCCCTCTCTTTTTCATTATTTTTATTTACTTAATAAATGTTCCTTTCTTTTTTTCATCTTTTATTATTACTCATATGTTCATTTTAAGCAAATTGCTGTTGGTGAGCCTTCTCTTAACTACAATCAACTGAATCCAAAAAGAACCGTTTAGATACACGCTGTGATCCAAGACATTTTTGGCGATGAGGATGGGATTCGGGAAAACGTATAAGAGAAGGGAAAGCAACCTGATGCTCTGGAGACGTCTGTATTCCAGGGTGGGAAACGGCAGACTCTGGATTCAGGTCTGTAGCTAATGTGTTAGCACAATTAGGACCCCCGAAAGAATAGGGAACAATTATAACTGGAAAAAGAAAGAACTAGAGGCCAGGTTTCTGTGCTGTGCAAGTGCACTGAACCTTGTTGAAATGTTAACGCTGTGTGATCTGATTTGAATGCACCTTTGTTTGTTGGTTGCTAAATGTCGTGCTGTAAAATTTGTGTCTTTTTGTTCCCTGGAGCTCAAGATCTGGGGGTACTTTGAAGTTTTAACTTGCTTTTGGGGAATGTACGGTGATTTGAAAGTGTGTTGTGCGCGTGTATCAATGTGGGACATGTATGCTTAATGTCCTGTCCTTTTAAGAAACCTTCAGTGGTTGTGTAAAGCAAAAAATCTATGAAATGTTTTTTCAAAAATTTGGTTTGTAAAGTTTGGTAAAAAATTTACCTTTTGGAATTGGCTGTGTTGTGTTTGGACTGGGTAAATTTTAATTCCAGAAATTACCATGTTTGTAATTTCATTTTCTGGCCAGAGTGAACTTCCAAATATTGTTTTAACATAAGTGAATCTTTAATTCCTAATGATAAGATTGACTCATTGTTAATATCCAAATGATAGGGAAATTGGAATGTTGAAAATGCAACTCCGCCTGGGTAAGGAATTCAGGAAAGGCAAATTTAACAAAGGGATAAAAACAAAGTTGCTGGAGAAGGTCAGCACGTCTGACAGCATCTGTGAAGGAAAAAACAGAGTTAACGTTTCGGGTCCGGCGACCAAAGCGATAGGCTTTTCCTTCTCTCAAGGAGGTGAAGAGATGAATGATGTAATTATGTGCAGGAGTTTATGCCCCACCCCCTTTTTGAGTCCGTAGTAGATTAATACTAATTAACCCATTCTGCTTGACGTGGAGTGGATGGAACTTGTTTGTTTTTTTTAAGAAATTGGAGACACTGAAGGCTGAACCCATTGGCAGAATTTCAATGTCGCAACACAGAGATAGATGAGGCACCCTCAACCCATCAAGCCATTCATCAATAACACATTTCACTGATGGGGATGTACTGTGGAAATATTAATTATAGTGAGTGCCAGAAATCTCAAAACCACTGAGCTTGGGTACACTTAAGCATATCATGACAAAAACTATATTAAGACTCACATGACCTGGTATTCTAAAACATTTAAATGGGATAGTTACCTGAAAGTTTTAAGGGATTCTGGGAAATGATAAAGTCTCCATAGTTTCAATGCATACAAAATTTGTTAATAACTTTAAGGGAGGAAACAGAATATTGAATTTGGACAAATTTACATAGAGATATATCAAATATCTAGAATAAGTTATCAAATAACTTCAAAAAAGGTGGGTCATCTTAAAAAAGGAACAAACAAAACATGTCGTGCCTGAATTGAACAGAAATGTTTGACTTCCATTTTAAACTATTATAAGGTTATGTACCATGGACTACAAATTCTACTTTGTAGAATTAGATATATTGGTAGTAGTTAAGTTGAAAAATTGGACTAGACAAAGTTATTAAGAGTGGAGCCTGGTGGCAGAAGACAAAAAAATTAGAAATAATAAGGTGAAGCAGCAATGCAGGTTGAAGTGTTATAGTAGTGAAAAGGAGGTTTAGATGAGAGCACGAAACTTATAGCTTTCTCTTGGTTATGTTTTTGTCCTTTTCTTTCCTTTTAAGAACATTGAATTGGTGATCAAGCCAGTACCCAAGGCATCGGGACCATACATGGAAAGATAAGTAAAACCTCAGAGATCATTTGATAAGACCATGTGGGAGTCAAGAATGCGTGACATAGTCTTGGGACACCAATGTAAGTGTGCAAAAATGGATACTACCTCGGAAGTAACAAACATGAGACCGTAAAAAAAATGCACTGAATAATAGGTCTCAGATATGTACACCTACTTGACAGAAGGATTGGTGTGGCCTGGAAGAGCACAAAGACATAGTTTCTCTATGGATTTTGGGTCAGTTTCTCAATGTTCAAACTCATTTTAAAACAATAAAAGTAGTATTAGTGAAAGGGATGTATAAAGAATTACAATCAAAATAAAATGTGTGATTGGTTATTATGTCAAAATGTTACAGAAATAAGGAATATGGACTCTGGGAGGAGTAATTGTGGACTGAGTGAAAGGGCCCATCAGATGACATACAGATACCCCATATTGAGCATATGTATGATGCATGTACTCCAGTGTTTAAACTAGTAGGCGAAATTGCAATGTGTTAGGACAGTTAGTGTACGTGAAAGAAGTCTGAGCTAAGACTCAGGTCGTATGGGAGTCTGTGGTTAGGGAACCCCGGGAAAAATAAAAGGCGGGAAACATAAGCTGAAGGTAAAGCCTGATGAACGTTACAGTTGTATTGTTTGATACCACGTGTATTGTAGCTCAAAGGGGGTTCCTGCATGTGGAGGTAGTTACCACTCAATGATACATCATTCATAAAATTAGCAAGGAAGCAAACATATTGGAGAAGTATCATCAAGACAGATACAAATGAAGAGAGCTGGAGAAATTTTGAGTCTATGTATAGTGCTATTTCACTATTGTTGAGTGAGGTGATCTGTGGATAGGGAACTGGAAAATTAAAAAAAACAGAAATTAAGGAACCTGAATCTGGAATATACTGAATTTTACAGCAAATTATGTAAATAGATTAACTGAAAAAAAATGTAGACAATATTCTGGTCATCTCAGTCAGGTGGCACAGCTTGCTGGTTCCATCATGGCCTTTGATAATACACCATATTGTTCTATTGTTCGTATTGATGATAGTTATTTTCATTGTAGTTTTAATCTTCTAGTGTAGGTTACATACTCTTATACATTCTCGCGTGGCTGTTGTTGATGTGCGTCTGCACTTGCAATTGTAACATGCGCTGTCAAATATCATCAGGATGAGGATTGTATAGGACGGGCTGAAGGGCTAAACTTGTTGCTGATATTCAACAGCTGCATGACCTTGAATGAGTCCTGCGAACATTCCTGTGCGTGCTGAAGACGGCACAATCAACATTTTTTTCTGTGCCTGGCTGTTTGTTACAGTATATAAGAGAGGGAGTTTTCTTCCAAGCTGCTGGATTTCACCTTGGATCGGGATAGCAACAGTGTCAGAAACAACCTCAGCCTCCAGACCAGGTGTTGATCGAGGGGTCCCCGTTGGGCAGAAGGGTGTGAGGCTTATTGTTTTTTCCCTCTCATTTTCTTTTTTTTTTACTTACTTAATAAATGATCCTTTCTTTTTTCATCTTTTATTATTACTGAGTTAATGTTTATATTTAAGCAAATAGCTGTTATCGAGCCTTCTCTTAACTACATTTAACCGAATCCAAAAAGAGCCGCTTGGATATACTCTGTGATCCAAGACAATCACGCCAGTATTTTCTCTCACACAAATAAATATTATGATTGAAATAGTCCAGCAAAGATATGGTTAACAGCCAGAGGTGTATGCGTGTATCTACACGTAACGGCACTAAAGGAAATTCATCTTTGAGATTTGGCTGCAAGACTTTAAGCACTCATACCAGATTTTCAACAAAGATTTGTTGCACAAATTGTTTCTCGGTAGTGCAAAACTGGAGTATTGCTGAAAAAAATGGATATGCTGTTAAAGCTCTTTGTTTTCTATTCCTCAGGAAAGATTCACAAGAATACCAAATCGCGAAACGGAACAATTCTTCTCAAAGGGTAAAAAAAAATGTTTGCCTCGAGATGTGGTATTTCTCGTGATTGTGTCCTGGTGTGAGGTGAAAAGCTTTGACTGCCTGTTTTTCTGTAACACTAGGGAGAATTCAACAATTTTGTTGGCCAATTAAAAGATGCACAATCAAAGTTACTTGCTGGATCATGAAGGATTTCCATGCCAGTGTAATATAACCAGCTGACAAACAATCAGTTGATGATCAATCCAGCTCTTGAACAATGCATTAAATTGATGTTACATTGGTAATGTTTGAATACACATGCAGGGATCATAATCCTTGGTTAATCTAACTGGCATTAAGACTGTTAAAACAAGAGATTAATTGAGCCAAATAAAGTGGAATGTCTTAACGTCAGGTTAAGCACATTGCTAAGGTCTTTATTTAAGATGAAGAGATAGTGGGTACTAATTGTCAGAGCACAAAGAAATAGAGAGATGTCAGTATGCATTTGCAATGAGCGATTGAAACTGAGGAAGGCAAGAAACTGTGTCCACAAATAAAAATATTACTGTCTTGATTTCAATCCACCAATTGACTAGAATTCATTTACAGAATGACCATCACATGACAACACAATACAAGTACCTTACAATTTAATTTAAATCCACTTGAAGTATTTTTATTCTCCCTAACATTTCTATGCAAGAAAAAAGGCCACTTTTGGTAACTCACCACCAGTTCTGCCACTGCCAACCTGCACAGCAGGCTGAAGGCTTTCCTCGCTGTTCAGTAAGTGGGGCATGTGATGGTAGATATTTGGCACTTTTAGGGCATTCTTGTTGGTTAAATCTTTCAGCAGCTTTTTGGCATCATCTGAAAATGCAGTGAGGTTGATCAGTACACTCAGGCATCTAATTAGCAACACAGTATCTCAGTTTACTGGTGTAAGCACGGGAATTCCTAAAGGCCTGGTTCACCATCAAGAAGGCCATCAATAAACACATAGAATTAGACCCTATATACACACCACTGCGAAGGACAACCGGAAGTGAGGTAATCAACTCCAATGGACCCCAGAGTTTAAATATCAGGTGAGAAAATGCAACAGCACTTCACCAGAGGCTGTACTGATGATGTTACCCAGCAGGGTAATGAAACGTCTGCAAAACTAATGAACCAGCTCGGTGAGCGAACCAACCACAGCACCCACAACCTGAGCTACAAATATACTCAAGAATATTAGTTGTTTTCAGTAAATAAAGCCAAAGGCGAAGCAACCGTGGTCCATTTGGTTAAATCTAAGGTCCACAACTATGAAAGATGAAAACAAAAACAACCCATATGTCCCAAGCTAAAATATATCAGAAATTATTGATTAAACTAAACCCTTTCATCTCAATCAATGGTGCCCACAAATTTAGAGGATGGATTGCAGTTGTTTTCAATGAAGGTTATAAACCTCTATGTTTCTTTCTGCACCAGGCATTAGGAGAAAATAATTATATAGGTTCAAGACAGCAGAAGAAGAGTAACAAAGATGTGCACAGGTGTACTTCACCTGAAGCTTGCAGCCATACCATTTTGCTCATATGAACGTAAAGTAAGGTAGGTTTAGGCTATTTATCCCCTCAGGCCTTGACTCCTCTCTCATGTATGGGAGTGTTGAGAGAGTTGAGATGGTTGGATTATCAGGAGAGACTGAGTAGACTGGGATTATACTCATTGGAATTCAGAAGAATGAGGGGAGATCTTATAGAAACATATAAGATTATGAAGGGAATAGATAAGGTGGAGGCAGGGAGGTTGTTTCCGCTAACAGGTGAAACTAGGACTAGAGGGCATTGCCTCAAAATAAAGGGAAGCAGATGTAGGACTGAGGTCAGGAAGAACTTCTTCACCCAAAGGGTTGTGAATCTGTGGAATTTCCTGCCCAGTGAAGCGGTTGAAGCTACCTCGCTGAATGTGTTTAAGGCAAGGCTTGATAAATTTTTGAACAGTAACGGAATTAAGGGTTATGGTGAGTGGGTGGGTAAGTGGAGCTGAGTCTCAAAAAGATCAGCCATGATCTTATTAAATGGCAGGGCAGGCTTGAGGGGCCAGGTGGCCTACTCCTGCTCCTAGTTCTTATGTTCTTATGTATGGCTCCTAACACCCTCAAATTCCAAAATCTACCTCCCTCTTTAAACACTCTCAGTGATATAGCCTCTTCAACTCTCTGGGGTAGAGAATTCTGGACATTCACTGTCTTTTAGCAGAAAAAAAATGCCCTTCTGTCTCAGATTTAAACAAGTGTCCCCTTATTCTGTCATTATGTCTTTTAGTTCAAGATTATGCCACTGGTGGTAACATCTTCTCAAAATGTCCCTGTCAAGCCCCCATCAGAATCATGTATGTTACAAAAGATCACACTTCATTCATCTACATTTTAATGAGAAAAAGGCTTGACCTGTTTAGAGATAGCAAGAACTGCAACCGTTCTTTGCAAGTTAAACCCTTCATAACAAGAATCAGCTGAGTGAATCTCTTTGGAACTGCCTTCAATGCCAGTGTAATTTCATTTTTAAATGCAGCAACCAAAACTGTACAGAGTATTCCAGCTGTTCCTTGTATAATTTTAGGAAGACTTCCTCACTCTCATGCAATACTCCAGGTGCAGCCTGACCATCACCCTGTACAGATGCAAGAAGACTTCAATTCTCGGCAAGCTGAACTGACAATTTATCTCAGAATTAGTTAAAACAGGTTAAGCCAAAGTGAATTACATTCTTGTTCCATTGGAAGTCCTTTGCACTCCTAGCCTCTTAAACTCTTAAATTATAGGGCAGTGAAACTTTCACTCCTTTACTGGTATCACAACAACCTGGTTCTCTTTGAGGGACACATAGGAAGAAGCAATTATTGATGATATATTATTGACTTGGATAAGGAAAGTGAATGTGCTATTGCTGAGTTTTCTGCATGACACCAGGATGGATAAGAGGCTGGATAGTGGGCTTGCTAATGGACAGTCTGCAGAGGGGAAAACATTAGGTTGAATGATTGGCCAGGGTGGATGGAGTGTAATGTGGGAGGGTGTGAGGTGCTGCGCTAAGGCAGGAAGAATAGAGAAGCTGAATGTTATTTAAATGGAGAAAGACCGCAGGTAGCTGGAGCACAGAGGGATTTGGGGGTCCTCATGTATGCATCACAAAAAGATAACATCCATGTTCAGTGGCTAGTAGAACGGGACAATGGGAAGCTGGAATTTTTTTCAGACGGAATGGAGCATGAGAGTGGGGAAGTCTTCCTAAAACAGTACAAGGCACTGGTCCGACCATAGCTGGAATACTGTGAACAGTTCTGGTCCCTTTATCTAGGGAAAGATATACTGTTACTGGTGGCTGTTAGGAAAACATTCACTAGATTGATCCTAGGTATGAAGGAATTTTTTTATGAGAAGAGGTTGAGTAGGTTGGGCCTGTACTCAGTGGAATTTAGAAGAATGAAAGGCAATCTTCTTGAGACATATAAGATTCTTAGGGGGCTTTACAGGATAGGCGTGGAAAGGTTGTGTTTCTTGTGGGGAGTCTAGGACCAGCGGGTATATCCTCAGAGTAAGGAATTGCCCATTTCAGATAGGATTGAGGATGAATTTCTTCTTCTCAATCTGTGGAATTCTTTACTGTAGAGGGCTGTTGAGGCTGGGGCATTAAAATATTCCAGGCGGAGATAGACAGATTTTTATTCAGAAAGGGAATGCAGGGATATGGGAAGGGGCTGGAAAGTGGAGTTGAGAATCAATAAATCAGCCAACCTGATGGGCCACATGGCCTGCTTCTGTTCCCACGTCTTGTGGTATTGAAAGATTTTGCAATGTTGCCTCTTGCAGTAAATCATTATTTCGAAAAGACAGAATTGGGGAGACTGTACAATGAGCTGAACTATATTCAAAGGTCTCCCACCTTAGATGTGAGATTGTAGTTTTCTTTCATCTGAGCCTTATTCCATCAAGTGCTGAGCGCATCTCGTCCATGAGGCTTATCTCCTACTCTCTTTACTTGATTCCCAGTAAAGTATTGGGGTCATGTTCAACTGATAATGATTTTCTCTAATGAAGGCCCTTAGAACCCTGTCAATATGGTGCACCCTGGCTGCACACGGGACAAAGAAATGTTGACCTGAAAGAGGATGCAGGTAGCCACTTCACCACTGGGGCAGAAAACAATTCAATCAGCCAGTTATCAAAGCACACTCTCATTGCAGCTCCAAAGAAGAACCACACTGGAAATGTTAACTCTTTTTATTTGCACAGATGCTGCCAAGGTTACCGAGTTTCTCCAGCATTTTCTGCTTTCATATCTTTGGCAGAGAATATTTTTGGCAAAGCACTGGGCACAATTGAATAACTTGCCCTCTCAATGCAGAGCAATATATTGAGTGGGGCGACTATGAGAATGAGGATACGGTTTATTTACACTTGAATGCAGCTTAGAAGTGGGCAATAAAAGCACCACATTGAAATATTTTCATTTAATTTGATTCAATTGTTGACCTTTTAATGACTACTGCCAAACGTATACTTATTCTAAGCAGTTGCGGTCAGGAAAAATGCTATATTTCATAGCATTTCCTAACAATGTGTGATTCGCTTATACAGAATTACCTGAAAAATTGCTCAGGGCCTCTTTGCTTCCATTTGATGCAGCCACTATACGTTTGAATTGCTCCAGGACACCATTTAGTTCCGAGGAACGCTGCAAAGTTCGGTGCTCAGCGACACGTAGACGTTCCCTCAAGGCGTGGAACTCATGCTGATAGGCAATTAGCTTTTCTGTGAATAAATGAAGGGGAAAACATTAGCATAAAACCATTCTCAACAGAAATTCTCTTAAAACCATTTTAGTGCAGAACTTATTGAACGCGTTGAAGGATGGATGTCTTAAGAAGGAGTTAAATATTTACCTTACACATTTGTTTTTCAAGTATTGATGCCTTAGAATTTAACAATGCAATATTTTATCCCCTACACCCCACTTTGGTTTCTGCAATTACTCCTTGGAGGTAAATTCCTGGCTCGTTCTTGACAATTATGCTCAAGACTGCAATAAGAAAATTGGACCACATATCCCACTGCTCCAGATTAATGATAACACAGTGTGGAGCTGGAGGAACACAGCAGGCCAGGCAGCATCAGAGGAGCAGAAAAGTTGACGTTTTGGGTCGGGGCCCTTCTTCAGTAAAAAATGATTTTTCTGAAGAAGGGTCCTGACCCGAAACGTCAACTTTCCTGCTTCTCTGATGCTGCCTGGCCTGCTGTGCTCCTCCAGCGCCACACTGTGTTATC